CCTCAGGCGGGTCTCGAACCCGCGGGCTCAGGCAATCCACTCATCTCAGCCTCCCAAAGGCGCGGGATTACAGGCTGAGCCACCGAGCCCGGCTAGGCTGATTTATAATGTATGTTATTGTCTGGGCTCACACAGCCAGTGAGTGGCAGAGCTAGGATTTGAACTTTGGTGTGTGTGTGTGTGTGTGTGTGTGTGTGTGTGTGCATTTATTATTTATTTTGTGCATTTAAAAAAATTCTTCTAGAAGGGCATATTGGCTCATGCCTGTATTCCTAGCACTTTGTGAGGCTGAGGAAGAAGGATTGCTTGAGCCCAGAATTTCAAGACCAGCCTGGGCAACATTGTGAAACTTCATTTCTTTTTTTTTGTTGTTGTTGAGTTGGAGTCTCACTCTGTCGCCCAGACTGGAGTGCAGTGGCCGCTCCCGGCCACCACAGCCTCGACCTGCTGGGCTCCGGCGATCCCTGCCTCAGCCTTCCGAGTAGCCAGAATTATAGGCATGCGCTACCATGCCCGGCTGATTTTTTGATTTATTGTAGAGATGAGGTCTCGCTGCCCAGGTGGGTCTCGAACCCGCGGGCTCAGGCAATCCACTCACCTCAGCCTCCCAAAGGCGCGGGATTACAGGCTGAGCCACCGAGCCCGGCTAGGCTGATTTATAATGTATGTTATTGTCTGGGCTCACACAGCCAGTGAGTGGCAGAGCTAGGATTTGAACTTTGGTGTGTGTGTGTGTGTGTGTGTGTGTGTGTGTGTGCATTTATTATTTATTTTGTGCATTTAAAAAAATTCTTCTAGAAGGGCATATTGGCTCATGCCTGTATTCCTAGCACTTTGTGAGGCTGAGGAAGAAGGATTGCTTGAGCCCAGAATTTCAAGACCAGCCTGGGCAACATTGTGAAACTTCATTTCTTTTTTTTTGTTGTTGTTGAGTTGGAGTCTCACTCTGTCGCCCAGACTGGAGTGCAGTGGCCGCTCCCGGCCACCACAGCCTCGACCTGCTGGGCTCCGGCGATCCCTGCCTCAGCCTTCCGAGTAGCCAGAATTATAGGCATGCGCTACCATGCCCGGCTGATTTTTTGATTTATTGTAGAGATGAGGTCTCGCTGCCCAGGTGGGTCTCGAACCCGCGGGCTCAGGCAATCCACTCACCTCAGCCTCCCAAAGGCGCGGGATTACAGGCTGAGCCACCGAGCCCGGCTAGGCTGATTTATAATGTATGTTATTGTCTGGGCTCACACAGCCAGTGAGTGGCAGAGCTAGGATTTGAACTTTGGTGTGTGTGTGTGTGTGTGTGTGTGTGTGTGTGTGCATTTATTATTTATTTTGTGCATTTAAAAAAATTCTTCTAGAAGGGCATATTGGCTCATGCCTGTATTCCTAGCACTTTGTGAGGCTGAGGAAGAAGGATTGCTTGAGCCCAGAATTTCAAGACCAGCCTGGGCAACATTGTGAAACTTCATTTCTTTTTTTTTGTTGTTGTTGAGTTGGAGTCTCACTCTGTCGCCCAGACTGGAGTGCAGTGGCCGCTCCCGGCCACCACAGCCTCGACCTGCTGGGCTCCGGCGATCCCTGCCTCAGCCTTCCGAGTAGCCAGAATTATAGGCATGCGCTACCATGCCCGGCTGATTTTTTGATTTATTGTAGAGATGAGGTCTCGCTGCCCAGGTGGGTCTCGAACCCGCGGGCTCAGGCAATCCACTCACCTCAGCCTCCCAAAGGCGCAGGATTACAGGCTGAGCCACCAATCCCGGCTGAAACGTCACTTCTTGTAAAAATAAACATAAAAATGAAAGAAAGAAGACTACACGCATGTAGTCCCAGCTACTCGAGAGGCTGAGGTGGAAAGATTGCCTGAGTCTAGGAGGTCGAGGCTGTGGTGAGCCGTGGTCATACCTCTGAACTCCAGCCTGGGTGACAGAGGGAGGCTCCAACTTGGAAAAAAGAAAAAAGAAATCATTGCCTGGGTCTTGCTTTTCCTAACCCCTGAAGACTGAAAGCCACTCAACCAGCCAGGAGAATGCCTCTTCATTCTTACCTGCAGTTCTCCTTTCTTTTATTTAAATGACATTGCCGAATTAGCACTATACTGATTTGCATAGCAGAGAGATTCCAGAGCCAGGCTTCTGAGATGGGAAACCAGAGAGCTGGGAGGGCTTTGGTGGTTAGATCCTCTCCCTAGGAAGCAGCCAGTGGGGGTGTGGGCAGTGTCGGTGTCGCAGGTCAGTCATGTCCGTGGTGGGCGATGAGGGCCTAGAGGGTTCAGGAAGGCAGTTTGTCAAGTCTCTGACTATCCCCCTCCACTCTCACCAGCCTCCTTTTGATGGCGAGGACGAGGAGGAGCTGTTTCAGGCCATCATGGAACAAACTGTCACCTACCCCAAGTCACTGTCCCGGGAAGCTGTGGCCATCTGCAAGGGGGTGAGAGCCCCCACTCCCAGGTCCCCTGGACAGACCACCCTCACACTCATTGTTGTCTCCCTGCCCCTGAGAGACAGGCTCCCATTCCTCAAGTCACATGACTCCTACCTGCTGGAAAAGTTGGTATAACACAAGGTTCTTGTAAGGACAGTGATTTACTGTCCAGCTGCCACCTCTGGACTGAGGATGTCCTTATCTCCCCCTTCTCTGTGGCCTCCCACTCTGTAGCTCCCTGCCTTCAGGAAGAGCTGAGAAACCCGGGCCAGGGCCTGTCTTCCCAGAACTGGGTGGATCAGATAACCCTGTGTTGTGTCTCCACGTGGTGGCTCATACCTGTAATTCCAGCACTTTGGGAGGCCAGGACTTTGAGACCAGTCTGGGTAGCATAGCAAGATCTTGTCTCTATAAAAAAATCAGCCTGGCATGGTGATGCTCACCTGTAGTCCCAGCTACCTGGGAGGCTGAGCTGGAAGGATTGCCTGAGCCCGGAGGTGGAGGCTGCAGTGAGCTGTGATTGTGCCACTGCACTCCAGCCTGGGTAACAGAGTGAGACTTTGACTGAAAAACAAACAAACCCCTATGTTCTTCAGTTTTCTTCCTGTGGGATCTTGGGAAAGTTACCCAAACTTTGTGAGCTCCAGTCTCCTCTTCAAGGGCCATGGAGTCAACACAGGAGAAGGTAGTGGGTTTCTAACAAGTTTCAGCTGGCTTCTGTTCCCAGGCTCTGTCACCAGGGCTCTCTGACTGTCTCTTTCCGGTGTCTGTCACCGTCTTCACACGACGGGCTTTCTGTGTCTCTGCTCCTTCTTGGTGTCTCCTTCCATACCTGTCACGGCTTGGTCCCTCTTCCCTCTCTCTGGGTCTCTGTCACCCTCCTTCCTTCTCTCTCCTCTCCCCCACCCCCACTCATCTTTCTGGGCTTTCTGTCCTCTTACTTCTCTGTCTTGATTCCTCTCTCTGGGTGCTTGTCTCTGGGGTCTCCTCGGGCTCCTCCCATCCCCGGGCTCTGTCCTCGGCCCTGGGGCCTCCTTACCTCCCTCTGAATCTCCCTTTTCGCTTTCCTCTGGGTCTGCATCCTCTCCTGCTCCTCCCCTCTCTTCCCCACGCCCCCCCCCCCC